ACATATATACATATATATATATACATATATATATATACATATATATATATATATATATATACACTGCTGTGACCTCTGGCCCTCATTAAAGGTTCAGCAGCATGGAAGTGACATGTTTCTCTCAGCTTTGCGGAGAGACGTCGCCCTCGTGTGGACACGAGCGATGGGATCAGAGCAGCGGAGAGACGGAGGAGGAGAGGGAGGCAGTCTGATACACACACTCGCTTGCCAGAGGAGGCAGGCCGCGTGCGACATCCTCACAAAACAATAAGATGCACGCACACACACACACACACACACACACACACACACGGAGCTTATTGATCGGCCCACATTCCCATCTTCTGCATTCAGTCGTGTTTGACGAGTCAACAGATTAACAGTGGGAGGGAAACAACGAGAAGTCGTGCTGTTCTGAACACCGGGTGTCTCACAGCTTTATCCCGGGTAAATGAGATGAATTTTGGTTTGGAACATCAGCCGGGAGAGATGCTATTCAACGTCAAATATTGAAGCATTTAAATGTGCATAATGCTGCTGTGCACGTTTACAAGCTCAGGCGTTCAGCTTGTCCTTTTAGTGGAATGCTTTATTAGTGTGTGTGTGTGTGTGTGTGTGTGTGTGTGTACCACCGACTGCCAAATGATTGGATTAAACTCTAAAAAATATTTCTTTTGGTACTTTCCAAAGCTAGTTATTTTTATATCTAAATGTGCACGAGAATTTAAATAAATAAACATGAATTCAAACAAAGTATAATCTTAATGGCCATTTACGATTGAATATCACGACACGTCATCTCATGATCAGCTGTTTTGCCTCTGTTAGCTGAAAGTTGATCTTTTTATTCTTTTTCCCACTTTATGAATAAGGTGTGGGAGACCAACCTGCGTGGTCAAAAGCTCTGATGTGTGCGGTGATAAAATACGACCCTGAATACATTTAATCTGGACTCATGGTGGCAGGTAGTGATGGTGAGGGTAAGCAGAATATTTGCTATTGGTCAATAATCACAGCCCAGGTTATTTACTCTCCTTTTTTTGGTCATGTTATGTCATTTTTTTCACTCATTTATTTGGGAAGGGGGTCCTCGGATATTTTCTTTAACAATCAGAAGAAGTGCGGGTTCAGAGCCCCTGATGTAAGGCCCTTTACACTGGATTCATGTGATTTTGTGTCCTGCAATGTGAACCCTTTGGTGATCAGCTTCCTGGTTAAATATGACTATAGTTGGTATTACCTAAAGTGAGAACGGCAGCAATTACTCAAAGATCAATAGGCCGGAGATTAAAACGGTTAGCCACGAGTCGATCAATACATGACTATTAGTTCACGTTCAATTCTGAATCGTTGGGATTCTATTACAATCGACCTGCAGCTTCGTTCCCATGCTGAGCTGCGATTTTTAGTTTTATTTGGTGTGAGCCATCAAATGTGATGAAAGATTCACAGTCGAGGCAAATATGACCCGCATGCATACAAACACACGCCTCAAGTGGTGCAAATATTTACAGTGAGGTCAGCTTCCAAACTTTCTTTAGTTTCTTTTTTTAGAGCTGGTACACAAACGTAACTCATTTCACTAATTGTTGGGTAGGAATTCCCAACTTGTCACATGGACGTTGGGTCAGGACCTCTTGATGTTAGCGCACTAGGTACACAGTTGCACTTGGGTTTAAGGCAACGAGATATACTTGGTTGGGGTTAGTAAAGGGTGGTTTGGGTTGCTCTGGGCCTAAAGAAAACATACAGAATATTCTGAGAAAAGTCCACAAAAATAGTGAGAAACTGGACGATAAAAAAAGATGAATAGGCTCCTTTATAGACGCCACTCAGCGCATGATTGGTTTTAATTTGGTCAACTATAAATGTGGGCATTGTGAAATTGAACCAGACTAAGTAGAAAACAAACCAAAAGTCTGAATTCCACTCTGATTCAGACGAACCCTCTGAGCTCAGCAGACTGCAGTTCAGTCAAAGTTTCACAGAATTGTTGTCACGTGACTGTTGGTCTCAGCCGAGTCAACCATTGCTTCCTCGTTGCACTGAGCAGCTCAGAATGTAATGTTGTTTTTACAGGATCCGTTTAGAGTCAACAGTCTATTTGGGGCGGAATTGTAAATGAGCCATGTAGAATAAATCTCACAATTGTAAGCTTAGTTTCGGTCGCATTTTCTGACGGAAGCGTTCGTCACACGTGATGTGTTCGATAACCGTCGGAAAGATGAAAACCTGACGATTAGATGGGGCTCAGAGGGTTACGCCAACGTTGATTTTTGGTTTCACACGAAACACAAATGATGGTCTCCTGGATGAAAGTCCTGTGTTATGCATCCCGCTCATCTTTGTACTACATCCGTGGCTCCGAGCCTCTAATACAGTATATTAGGTTCACATTAGAGTTAGTTGAAGGCCTGGATGCGTCTCATACACATGCTAAAGGGAGCCTTATGAGTCAGTATCGGATGCCGAGGGTCCGGGACAAAACCTCTGTATTCTAGGCACCCTGGGAACGAGCCCAGGCTGGAACGTGATGCGGTTGCTGGCAGTGTGAAGTCACAGTAACAGACTAGATGATCCACAGCAAGAAAAAAAAAAAAAAAGGAAAGAAAGAGGAAATAGGAACTAACCTCCCACTGCAGGTGAGGTGGAATGTTTCTGATCTGCAGTTTCCTGGTCCTGTGGAGAGAAGAAGACGAAGGAGTTAAAAGTGATACAGGGGCACTGAACACAAGTCCAATTTTGGGGTCTTTTTTGAGGGGGGTTATCTTTGTTAGTTAGGAAAATGATACAAGCGATACATGTCAGCGGTCCAGAAAAGCAACAATTGTACGGCATTTTCGCACCAGACTGGACCATCCCTGGTTACGTACTGTTTCAATCTGATGGGATACATCCACTTATGCCTTTTCCTTTAGCAACTGAAACGATACACTTATTTCTGGTACAAAGATGCAGTAAGTTCCACCAGCAACTAGAATTACCATCGCCAAAAAAAGTGTTTCGTCAAGTCACAGTGACCTTTGACAACCAGATTCTAAATCAGTTTATCCAAGTCCTTCCGAATCCAAGTGGACGTCCAAGGATCAAGGCGTTCCCGAGACATCATGAGGACGGCACGGCATGAGGCCACAGTGACTTTGACCTTTGACCACCACGTACACACGGTAAACTCACAAAACATCAGAAAACACAATTCTCAGTCTTGAGGCAGACACCTTGGGCGAAGCGGGACGTCGTACTCACTGCATCCTGGCATCGATGGTGACTAAAAAGGAGTGCAGCACTTCAGTGATCAATGTTTCCAGCTAATAAACTTACACATCAACACATCCACGGTCAGGGCCGGCCAGGGTTTGCTGGCCCCATTTTGTAAAGGTGCAGACGATATCCCTACTGAGCCGTTTACATGGCTAATGGAAACTCATATTCCACCAATATTCACGTTGACATGCAGCCGTGTACACTCACATTATATCGTCTGCCGTGGCGGACTTGTTCAACCGAGCAGCCATAGCCCCCCCCTCCTTTTTTTTTTTTTTCAATCCTTCAAATACCTTCTTGTAAAAGGGACACATTACAAAAACGTGTTGGTAGTCTTTCATTAGACGTAAGTGTGTGTCTCCTTCCTGATCAGAAACGTGTGCTTTCCTTTTGGCCATGCATCTCTGCAAACTGTCGTCTAGTTGGTTTGAGTACAACCCAAAGAGCTGACCATGAACTGCCGTTAGAATACCAACCGAGACGCCTGTTCTGAATGTGTTGTATGCAAGTCTGAAGAAATGTTCCTTAATCAGACAACGCCCCATTCAGAATAGGGCCTGAATTGGAATAGCGAAGCAGAATCTGCGGTTCCGACGACCCGTATGCTCGTCAGAATATATTGAAGTAATAGTGGAATATTACTGTGAATGTAAACATCACTGTTGGTTTGTTCATCTACACCAGGGGTCCCCAACTGGCGGACCGAGGTCCGGATCCGGACCCAAACGCAGTTGCATCTGGACCCAGAATCTCAAACCGATAGATCATTTGGAAATATACATACTTGAAAGCGAGTTTATACTTTAACCGGCGCATCTTATTCAGCCGTTACGGCACTTGTTCAGCGGTGCAGGAAACACACCGACCAATTCGTTGTAAATCACATCATGTGATGCAGCTCAGCCAATCAAATATGGGCATTCTGACAAGTTTCCTGACTTGAGTGAGATTTACACACACACCGTGACACACGGGCTGAGACAAGGAAATAGAAAGAAGAGCAGGAATATTGCGCTAAACAGAGACGTTATCTCACATGACGTTCTCCAAAAAGAGAAACGCGTACAGAGAGAATATAATTTATAAGAAAGAATGAACAGAATCGTATATGTTAATTATTCCCACAGGCAGTTAAAACCAGCATGTCTCATATGTTCAGAAACCGTAACTATTGATAAAAGCGGCAAATGAAGCGCACTACGAGGCAGAGCACAACTCCTTTGAACAAACGTATCCACTCACATCTGAAATGAAGACACAGAAAATAAACCTAAGAGCCCAATATGATCAGAATCCTAACACATTAGTTCACTGTTCAACAATGATGTTAACAGAGAGAATAGAGCTGAAACAAGTGGTTTAATAACCACACATAAAGTCCATGCTCACTGATTTATCTTGTTAGATGACAAAATTATAATATCGTGACTTTTTTTATTGACATCACTTCACACCTGAATGAACTGAATTTAAAGCTGCAGGACAATTCAGTGAAATAAATGTTTCTAAAATGAATTACTTTATTTTAAAGATGCACATTTTTGAAAAGCTTTCTGTTATGTCAGTTATTCTTTAATCCAGCCCTTATTGTACTTGAAATGAGAAGAACTTTTATTTATGTATTTCTATGTATTATTTATAATCCATCCAGTTAAATTTGAAAACTGAGAATAATAATTTGTTAAAATATAATTGATGTGTACTTCCTTTATTTGATTTGACAGTTGTTGACTACACAGAGACGTTACTACTGCTAGACTTCTTGAATATAGATATAGGCAATCATTCCAAAATAATGCTTTTAATAATCAATTTGTATAACACTTTTTCAAATTAGCTCCAGCTTTACCAGATGAATCAAATTGTATCTTACAACTTAATTAAATCAGAAATAATCGTCCAATTTAAATAACATTATTCATCCTGCATTATGGGTACTTTTACTTTTGGTGCTATATTTAATTTTCCTGATTATACTTACATTATTTTACTTAAGTAAACTTTGGTAATACCTATTGTTGTATTCCTACTATTATTATAATTTTTTTCAACCACAGATTAAAAGGCCAGAACACAAATCAAAGGAATGAATGAGAAACAGGAGCATTCATTTTATAGGCAATAAAAGCACTGAGGGTGTATACTGGCTCTCTGTGCCCTCAGTCTGGGCGAGCATGTTCAGAGACCGAGGGGCAGAGTGGGCTGTCTGTCCGTCCAACGTGGTCTCAACAGAAGACTTTGTTCAAGACAAAGGAAAATTACAGAATGCCTAGTACAAAACAATATACTCTGTCTGTTTTATGTCCCAATACCTCAAACACAAACTGATTCTTTGTTCACTTGATTCACACTTCCTCATGAAAACATTCCTGACCTTAGTCCCTGATTTTGGTAAAAAAGGTCTACAGTATTCAACAAGACCTTCAACACAGTGTTGTCGAGGCTGTCGTCGGTCACGCTTTGATGCAGAGTATAGCATCCAGGAGGCTGTCCGTGTGTCTGACGTGTACCGTCGTGAACCCGTGGCTCTTCAAAAGCAGGCCGTACTCCGTCGCGCTCCTCTGGCTCCCCTCGCTCATGCTGAGGGCCTGCAGCAGGCCGCGCCTCGGCCCGCCTCGGTCTTCATCCAGGAAGATCTCGCTCAGCAGGAGTCCGCAGCCTGGGAGCATGGTGGAAGAGCATGATTTGTATGCGGGTATACAACTTTAGAGACCACAACAGTGGTGGTTTTTGCCACTTCCTTTGCTTAAGGCAAAGAATAACAATCAAGAGGGGAAACAAAAATGCCATCAAGTTGGTATTTTGGCTTGGCTTTTGAACTTGCCAGCTTCTTGTTTTATACGTCACGAAACACCACTGACAGTATACAGCAGCACTTCCACTGAGAACTAAGAGACTGTGGTTAACTGAAAACAAACTACACAGCAGCTGATCTCACAGTAGATATGATTTTAATCAGATTGTGGGCAATTACTAAATTGCTACAGTCTCAAAAGTTTCACTAGCACATGACTGAGATTGTTATATTAAACATTTACGTTTCAAACATGTTAGCATGCATTGTTCGGTCAACGTGTAGTAAAGATTAAAAGAAACTTGGAGAATTTTACCTGGCGAGCACGCATCTGCGATTTTACTCAGCAGAATATGCACTTTCTCATCAGGCCAGTCATGGAGAATCCTCGCAAGGACGTACAAGTCTGCTTTGGGCAGCTCGTCTTTAAAGAAGTCTCCTGTTCACGCAGAGAGGAGAAAGACATGAGCTACAGTCAGAGTGAGGGAGGTGTTACTGTGATCTGAGACAGCAGCAGCCAGCTCTCTGTCATTGAACGGACTGTATTTCCACACACACACACACACACACACACACACAC